CAAAGGGAGAGTGTGTGTGCCTCGTAATGATAAATTACGGAAGGAGATTTTACAGGAGTCCCATAAGAGTAAAATGAGTTTTCACCCGGGGACCACGAAAATGTATCAAGATTTGAAAACATTGTTTTGGTGGTCTGGGTTAAAAAGGGATGTGGCCTTGTATGTCTCGAGTTGTTTGGTATGTCAGAAGGCCAAGATTGAACATCAATGACCAGCTGGAGAATTACAATCCCTAGAAATTCCCGTTTGGAAGTGGGATAATATCTCCATGGATTTTGTATCTGGTTTTCCGAAGACTCAGAAGGGTTATGATTCGATATGGGTGATCGTGGATCGGTTAACTAAATCTGCTCACTTTCTGCCTTTGAACATGAGATACTCGTTGGAGAGACTAGCAGAGCTGTATATCCGAGAAATTGTTCGCTTGCATGGAATACTGTCGAGCATTGTGTCGGATAGGGATCCTCGTTTCACTTCAAACTTTTGGACTAGTTTGCAAACCACTTTGGGAACTAAGTTGAAGCTGAGTTCAGCTTATCATCCACAAACGGACGGTCAATCAGAAAGGACAATACAGTCGTTAGATGACCTTTTGAGGGCGTGTGTCTTAGAACAACCAAGGAGTTGGGATGACATGTTGCCATTGATCGAATTTACCTACAACAATAGCTTCCATTCGAGTATTGGGATGGCACCTTATGAGGCGTTGTATGGTAGGAAGTGTCGAACTCTAGTGAGTTGGTTCGAAACTGGGGAGAACTTGATATTGGGGCCCGACTTGGTTCAGGAGACGACGGATAACATCAAGAAAATCCGGGAAAATATGAGGGTCGCCTAGAGTCGGCAGAAAAGCTACTACGGTAAGAGGCGGAAACCTCTTGAATTCAAGGAAGGGGATCATGTTTTCATGAGAGTAGTCCCGACTACCGGAATTGGTAGAGTGTTGAAATCTCGTAAGCTGACTCCGCGATTTATTGGGCCTTATCAAATACTAAAGAGGATTGGGCCGGTAGTGTATTGAGTTGCTTTACCACCGTTGTTGTCGAATCTCCACAATGTGTTTCATGTATCTCAGTTGAAAAATATGTTGGAGATCTATCTCATGTGGTTGAGTCGGACCAGATAGAGTTGAAGGATAACCTGACTTTTGCGACGTTGCCTTAAGAATCATGGATACTAGTATCAAAAGGTTGAGAGGCAAAGAGATTCCTTTGGTAAAGGTGTTGTGGAGTCAAGTGGACGAAGGAGACGCTACTTGGGAAGTTGAGCAGTAGATGAGGGAGGATTACCCTCATTTGTTTGAATCGAGGTATGTTTAATTTTCAAGGACGAAAATTCTTATAAGAGTGGGAGGATTGTAACATCCCAAATTTTAAGTCTTGAAAATCATAGTATCAGCCCTCGGACTCTCGCTTGAGCGAGAGATTCTCGCTTGAGCGAGAGAGGTTCACCTGGGAGGGGGAAATCCTGGGCTATACTGGAAGATTCTCGCTTGAGCGAGAGTTGTCTCGCCTGAGCTTGAAATGTCATTTTGAGGCTATTGCTACTGTGAGATTCTCGCTTAAGCGAGAATCCCTCGCTTGAGCGAGAATCCCTCGCTTGAGCGAGAATCCCTCGCTTGAGCGAGAATCCCTCGCTTGAGCGAGAGGATCAGATTTGAGTTTTTAAAATGGGCGGGATTTTCTCGCTTGAGCGAGAATCCCTCGCTTAAGCGAGAACCCGACGAGACAACATTTAATGAGAAACCCCAAAACACAATCTAGGGTTTAGAAAAGAAGAAGAGTGAGAGAATAGAGCTTTTCAAGGGCAAAAATCTTGGATACTCATCTAAGAGCTTGAGAAGAGATCCTAAGGTTGGAGGCGGTGTCGGTGGAACTTGAGAAGTTGCCAAGAACCAAACCCAGCACTCACCGAGGTAAGGATAAGTCTTTAATTGTACATTTGAACTCGAAAATGTTTATTCCCTGATTATGCAATGTTTGAGTTGTAAAGTACGCATTTAGTATAAACATATATAGGTGTGTTTATATTAAAGTAGGCGTAGGTTTACGGAAAAGAAAGTATGTGTACTTTTGGTTATGTGATTGATTGAGTTGTGAATGACGTAATTAGTGTAAACATATATGGGTGTGTTTATACTAATGTGGGTGTGGATTTACCGGAAAATGTTTTATGGTGAAATTAATGAAAGGGACATGTATTTTTAGCCGACCACGAATGGTTAGTGACTCTGTTTTGAGTATATAAGCAAAACTCTGGCTTGAGTATATAAGCAAAACTCTGGCTTGAGTATATAAGCAAAACTCTGGCTTGAGTATATAAGCAAAACTCTGGCTTGAGTATATAAGCAAAACTATGGCTTGAGTATATAAGCAAAACTCTGGCTTGAGTATATTAGCGAAACTCTGGCTTGAGTATATAAGCACGTTTTGTTTTAAGAAAAATGAGAATCTGCTTTTAGCTAACCCTAAGGGGTATAGTGACTTTGGCTCAAGTTATGCAGCAAAACAAAAATGAATTTCAAAGATGGTTTACTAACCCCTTTTATAATGTGGATTATCATATAATGATGTCTATTGAATTAATGACTTACTCCTTTGTGTGTTCTGTGTTTTGTCATTGATAATCTCATTGCAGATAAACAGGTGATATGAGGGAGACTCATTTTTGGGAGATTTAGGAGCGTTATATTTTGGATTCATTTATTTGCACTATTTTGTACATGAGTGCATATTTGATAGTTCACACATTATGTAACTACGAATTTTGGATTCATTTATTTGCACTATTTTGTACATGAGCGCATATTTGATAGTTCACACATTATGTAACTACGAACATATATTAACTTACATGGCGTTGTAACTCTGGATATGTATAGCCATGAGTATTTTGGAAACTCGTAGCTAGTTATATGCGGTGGTTACCATGTTTAATTAATGAGAATTATGTTTTTCTGTCGAACAATTATGTATGTGAATAATGAGTAGATCGCGAAGAAGGAAATAAAAATTTTAAGTAAAGGTATTAAATTGATGGTGTGAGAAATGAGAGATTGCATGTAATTGAACTAGTTTGAGAAAAAAATTTCAAGGGTAGAATTTTGGTTCTTACACCCATTATATCTCCTAGACTTTTATAAGTGCCTCAAAGCAAAACTTATGTGACATAGGAGCTTCATCTCATATAATTATCTTTAAATGTTTCAGTAACCCAGCAAGTTCTGAACCTTGATGAATGTTGCAAATAGAGTTCTCAAGACTTGCTATAGGAATTTTGAATTTAGAGTATGTTGTTCTTCCTCCTGGTAATAATAACGAAGTTATACCACTTGAAGCAACTATTAGTACAATTTGCTTTAGAGATCTCAATGCATATGTTAGAGTTCTCCACATATGGGTTTTACCAATTCCTCCATAACCATATAAGAAAAACATGCATCCTTGTTCTTGATTTACAGCTTGCATGACAGTTTTGAATAGTTTACATTGCTCGTCTGCAATATAATATATGAACATATAAACAATAAATTTAACACTACAAAATTTAAGGAAAAATACTAACTTATAACATAGATATACCTGTAAGAGATTGGAAAAGAAGATTGAAATTGTCCTTTAATTCATATGTATCATAATTAAGTTCATCATATATTTGTCTATTGCCCAATTGACTTGTGATATATCCCTTTCGGTATGACATTGGAGAATAGTCTCTCAAACTTCTTCGATTTTGCTGAAGTAGTTTCTCAATCTCTAACAAAGTTAGATTTTGCAATTCCTCATCACTAAGCACCAAACCTATAAGCCATTTGGAAATTTCTATATAATTATAAATATTTACAAATAATAGAAATGAATTTAAAATTTTAAATGTAATAAATGAGTACCACGATTATTAGCTATGTTTCTTTGATTGTAAAGAATATCGTCACATAACCATTTCCAAGTTTCTTCCCATACATGATCTGGTTTATTCATAGAGGTTGATAGGGATGGCAAAAATACCCTTACCTGTGGGTACCCGTCAAAATATCCGCAATGGGTACCCGCAAAAATAGCTCATGGGTGGAAACGGGTATCATGATACCCGCCCCGCGGGTACCCGCGTACATATTTCAATTAAATATTTTTTAATTAGTTATTATTAAGTTAATATTATATTTGTTTATTTTATTATTACTTCTTAATAAAATTTAGTATTTTTATCATATCCATGTTATAACACCCTAGATTTTAAAGTCATTAAATTATAGTATCAGTCTTGGGAGTCTCGCTTGAGCGAGAGAATCGTCGCCTGGGCGAGAGAGGCTCACCTGGGAGGGTGAAATCTTGGGCTATACTGAAGGACTCTCGCTTGAGCGAGAATTGCCTCGCTTGAGCGAGAGCGGTCTCACCTGAGCAAGAGTTGTCTCGCCTGGGCGAGAAAAGTGGCATTTTAAAAAGGCGGGATTTCCTCGCCTGAGTGAGAATGGGCCCGCTTGAGCGAGAACCCGACGATTTCACTTTAAAATAGAAACCCCAAACACATTTTAGAGTTAGAACTTTGAAGAAAAGAGAGAGAGGTGAGCTTTTCAAGAGCAACGAGCCTTAGGAATCATCTTAGAGCTTGAGAAGAGGTAAACCACTTGTTTCTAACTCTTCTTCTTCCTCTCTAACTTGTTTTGGGTGTATGGATCTCTTCTCAAAGTATGAGAAACCATGGAAAATCATCCTTTAGAGTTATGGTTCTTTTTATGTTGTTTTTATCTTGTAAACTCTTGGTTTAGAGTTGGTATTTGATGAATGGAAAGGTTTTGTGGGTTTATTCATGAAAACCCCAAAACCCCCAAAATGAGAATGTGAGTAAAAAGGAAATGGATGAAATGTTAGATGTAGAAGATGAGTTTGTGCTCTAATGTTGATGTATGAGATGAATATGTACGTTTAGATGTTTGGAAACTCTTGATGAAAGTAGTTTAGAAACATTGAAAATGTGTGAATGTCTTGCATGTTTAAAAGATGAGACATGAGTTCTTTGTGTTATTTTGTATAAAGTACTGACCTTTGTTGTTGTTTGGTGTGGATGAGGAAAGATCCTAAGGTTGGAGGTAATCGCGGAGGAAACTTGTAAAGTTACTCGGAAACGACCCCAACGCTCACCAAGGTAAGGATAAGTCTTTAATTGTACTTGTAATGGAAAATGTGTGTATTTTCTGGTTGTGAAAGTGGTTTAGATGCAAGTCGTTTAATATAAACATATATGGGTATGTTTGTAATAAAGGATGTGTGGAATTGCTGTTTATAAATGTATTGAATCACCTTCAGGGTGTAGACTTACCCAACATGGTATTGAATCACCTTCAGGGTGTAGACTTGCCCAACGTGGTAATGAGTCACCTTCATGGTGTAGACTTACCCAACGTGGTAATGAAATTACCTTCGTGGTGTAGACTTACCCAACGTGGTATTGAATCACCTTCATGGTGTAGACTTGCCCAACGTGATATTGAATCACCTTCAGGGTGTAGACTTGCCCAACGTGGTAATGAGTCACCTTCGTGGTGTAGACTTACCCAACGTGGTATTGAATCACCTTCATCGTGTAGACTTACCCAACGTGGTATTGAATCACCTTCAGGGTGTCGATTTGCCCAATGTGGTAATGAGTCACCTTCGTGGTGTAGACTTACCCAACGTGGTAATGAGTCACCTTCATGGTGTAGACTTACCCAACGTGGTATTGAATCACCTTCATGGTGTAGACTTACCCAACGTGGTATGAAATCACCTTCGTGGTGTAGACTTACCCAACGTGGTAACGAGTCACCTTCATGGTGTAGACTTACCCAACGTGGTATGAAATCACCTTCGCGGTGTAGACTTACCCAACGTGGTATTGAATCACCTTCATGGTGTAGACTTACCCAACGTGGTATTGAATCACCTTCAGGGTGTAGACTTTCCCAACATGGTAATGAGTCACATTCGTGGTGTAGACTTACTCAACGTGGTATTGAATCACCTTCATGGTGTAGACTTACCCAACGTGGTATTGAATCACCTTCAGGGTGTAGACTTGCCCAACGTGGTAATGAGTCACCTTCGTGGTGTAGACTTACCCAACGTGGTATTGAATCACCTTCATCGTGTAGACTTACCCAACGTGGTATTGAATCACCTCCAGGGTGTCGATTTGCCCAATGTGGTAATGAGTCACCTTCGTGGTGTAGACTTACCCAACGTGGTAATGAGTCACCTTCATGGTGTAGACTTACCCAACGTGGTATTGAATCACCTTCATGGTGTAGACTTACCCAACGTGGTATGAAATCACCTTCGTGGTGTAGACTTACCCAACGTGGTATGAAATCACCTTCGTGGTGTAGACTTACCCAACGTGGTATTGAATCACCCTCATGGTGTAGACTTACCCAACGTGATATTGAAATCACCTTCGTGGTGTAGTCTTGCTCGAGGTGGCATTGAATAAATAAATGTTAATCGTAGTAGATGGGAGTACATGGGAGTTACGAAATGGAAAAGAAAGTGATTTGGAATGGATGAATATGCATGCTATAGAATATATATTATGTGATATATATACTATAGGGTGAATATGACTAATATGGAAAAGAAAGTGATTTGGAATGGATGAATATGCATGCTATAAAATATATATTATGGGATATATATACTATAGGGTGAATATTGATAATATGAAAAGAAAAGAAAGAAGATATGATTGGTTACATTTATGTACTTACGTTATGTGTCTCATTCTAATGTTTCCTTTGTATTTTAAATGTGGATTAACCTGTATTGACATTATTTGAATTAACGACTTACTCCTTTGTGTTTTCCTATGTATGGTCAATGTTAATCCCATTGCAGGTAGGTGGAAGATGTAAGGATGTTTTGATTTTGGAGCTTAGAGGCTTTTATTTTGAAGTCCTTATTTCCATTCTTTTTGTAACCTAACTGATTGCATTCTGAATTGACTATTTGTAATCATGGGCCTGATTTTTGTACGTGTTAGGGACCATGGATGATGGTAACTCTGGATATTTGTAGCTATGACTATTTTTGAAACCCATAGCTAATTGTATGCGGTAGTTACTAAGCTGCATTAATACGAATTATGTTTTTCGATCAAATGAATGTGTATGTCGTTATTGGTTCATAGATTGAGTGTGAAGTGGAAAAATGAGATTTTAAAATAAGGTTATGAAATTTGTAAATGTAATTTATAGGAAAGTGCATGAAAAAGGAATAACATAAGGAAAAAATTTCAAGGGTAAAATTTGGGTCCTTACACATGTCTTGTTATTTAAGTAAAAATTATTTTTATAGATTAATTATTGTAAAATATATAAAAATATAATTAGAATTAAAAACCCGTTGGGTACCAACGAGTACCCGCAAATAGTGCGAGTACGGGCATGGGTATGCACTACCCGTGTCCGCCCGTGCTCGTTGCCATCTCTAGAGGTTGATAAAAACATTGTAACGAATAATTTCCTTAGGTAGAATCCAGAACCCCAATCATAGGCTTCTTTCAACACTTCAATGTATTCTCTATCATATTGAAGCAAGCCCATTGCAAAACATGCATCTCTAAATGTAGAATATTGAATGTCTAAAATAGTTCTAATATCTTCATAACATGTTGCACCCTTGACCACGATTAATATCATCCTAAGATAGTAGAGCTCACCAGTACATGGAGGAACCCAAATTAATCTACCAATTGTATATCCCGATTTTCTTGGTTTCCAAGTCCTACTCCTTTTGACATAAACAAATTTTGAGACATATTGACCATAACATAAATTTCTACCTTCTGGATATTGCTTATTAGCTTCCATCCATGACGTAAACATGGATTCTGAGACTGTAGGTCTTGAAAGTATGTTGTCAATCTCGTCATTATCATTAAAGTTCATAGGTTGTTCTCCTGGAAGGTGAAAATACATTCTTTCAACTGCAGGTTGTCTTCTATGAATTGGAAATCCAAAAATCCTCCAACATGCTTCAGAGGGTGAAATATATCTACAATCAAGATATTGTTTTACTTCATCAATGTTTCGTTCACTTAAAGACCCACCATCTTCTGTTGATTCTATAACAACACTAACTCTATCATACCCTTTGTTGATATACTTGAATAAGTATTTAATTGAAGTATTTTGGTTATACCACTCCATATTAATGTGCGCTTGATATTTCGTTAGTAATTTTGGATTGTAAGGCACAACATAACGATTTTCAAGAGAAATTCCATTTTTTTCAACAACGTTTCCATTATCTCTTCTTCTATAAAGCGAATATCCATCTTCATCAACAACTGTAGTTTGGGAGAATTTCTTTGGGAATATCGAGAGCATTTACCACCTTTCATACACGGAGAAGACCTATTAGAAGAAACATATGGACCATGAATCGTATGTGATTTGACCAAGTTATGCAATTTAGGATTATGAGACTGATCTAGAATTTCTGCACAAATAATTATGTCAATGTCATCAGGAGTTGGGTATTTATAAGACGGATGCAAAAATATAAGCAAGTAAGCATGTGGTAGCTCTCCTTTTTAAAATTCAATTGTGTACATATCTGAAAAATAATAATAACAAACAACAATTATTATGTCATATTACTTAATTAAAAGTATGCAATTATAATATGAGTAATTGAAGAGTATTGAAATTTATACTTACATGCAAGTATTTTCCCCAAAACATGTCTTTTCTTCAAATCATATATTAATTCTTCAAACTTCATTTTGAAAACCCTTGAGATTATATATGGGTGATTGTATGGCTTCAACCCCATCATCTTAAGAATTCTAACAATTTCAGGCCAATTAGGATTGCATGTCATCGTCAAAAACAAATCAGGAAATCCTAATTAACTACAAATGGCCATCCCATCAAAATATAGTTGATCCATGTATCTTCGGCTACCAACAAAAGTTGAAGGCAACATGACTCGTTTTCCTTGATTAGATCCTTGACTCTGATCACTTCCTTGACTTTCATTTAGATTTTTGTATTTATCCACCCTCAGTTTTTTTTTGGTTTCTCTTGATAAAGGACAATCTTTCATATTTTACCATTGTATAAGCATCAACCAAAAATTGATGGAATAGTCTTCTAGAACACAACAAAGTTTGCGCCTCGTTTTTTCTACTTTTCAATCTAAATGACATCCATTCTCTTACTGTTACATGATTCCTTTTTCTACCTTGAGAACTCAGTCTATCTGTATGACATACATCATGTATATATCCATCCTCTCCATATGGAAACAACAAAGGATATTGGAAAGCCAAATAGCTTGCATGCAATTCGTTAATTCTTTTCAATTGACCACTTTGAGTTTCCATAATTATATCTCTTTGTGAAGTTGAGTCAATGTCTCCAACAATTAAAGCAGCAACTTCAGAAACTGCGGGTAAGTTATTTATTCTTCCATCTGAATTTCTTTCACCAATTAGTTTTAACTTGAGGTTTGGAACACCACCACGTCTTAATCTTTCACTTGCCATTCTGAAAGATTTTGCATGCACATTGTAGTCATCCAACATCTTTGACAATTTCATAACCACTTGTGAATCAACATTGTTATTCCTAACATAATGAATTTGCAAGAAAAAAATTATTAGAGGGAGTGCATTAAAAATAAGGAATATAATGTAAAGCATGACTTATTTACTTACCTTATTTCATTCATCCTATTTTGAATTTCATGTTCGGTATCATAAATATATAGTTGGACAAACTTTGGAAATTGTCCCGACATAGGCAACATGTGTAACGACCCGATTTCTACCCTTGAAATTTTTTTTCATTCATTTTAATTCCCTCTTACATACATTCATCATCTTACTTAAAACCTTCAGGAATCATTCCTTAAAAATATTCCTTACACCTATTATATTATCATATAATTTAAATTGCGGAAAAACATAATTCATTCATTATTATTCTCATTGAGTACTAAAAGCCCAAAAGTTATAATACTCCAAATATAACAATACCCATGGTTACGAATACCCAAATAAATGTCAGTCATGGTTACAATCATTCAAATCCACAAGTAGTCATTTAAAGTACAAAAACGCAAATAGTGAATCCAACGTCTAAAGCTCCTAAAGCTCCCGAACTAGCATACTCCATTCGTCTATTTACCTGCAATGGGATTATCAATGACAAAAGTACAAAATACACAAAGGAGTAAGTCGTTAATTCAATAAACGTCATTATAAGATAATCCACATTAGAAAAAGGGTTAGTAAACCATTTTCGAAATTCATTTTGTCTTGCTGCATAACTTGAGCCAAAGTCGCTACACCCCTCAGGGTTAGCTAAAAGCAGAATCTCGTTTCTCTTAAAACAAATCACGCTTATATACTCAAGCCAGAGTTTACGCTTCTATACTCAAGCCAGAGTCGCTAACCATTCATGGTAGGCTAAAACATATTTTCCTTTCATCGATTTCCTCATAAATCATTTTCATGCTTCTATACTCAAGCCAAAGTGTATGCTTCTATACTCAAGCCAGAGTGTATGCTTCTATACTCAAGCCAGAGTGTATGCTTCTATACTCAAGCCAGAGTGTTTGCTTCTATACTCAAGCTAGAGTGTATGCTTCTATACTCAAGCCAGAGTCGCTAACCATTCATGGTCGGCTAAAACATATTTTCCTTTCATCGATCTCCTCATAAATCATTTTCATGCTTCTATACTCAAGCCAGAGTATATGCTTCTATACTCAAGCCAGAGTGTATGCTTCTATACTCAAGCCAGAGTGTATGCTTCTATACTCAAGCCAGAGTCGCTAACCATTCATGGTCGGCTAAAACATATTTTCCTTTCATCGATCTCCTCATAAATCATTTTCATGCTTCTATACTCAAGCCAGAGTGTATGCTTCTATACTCAAGCCAGAGTGTATGCTTCTATACTCAAGCCAGAGTGTATGCTTCTATACTCAAGCCAGAGTCGCTAACCATTCATGGTCGGCTAAAACATATTTTCCTTTCATCGATCTCCTCATAAATCATTTTCATGCTTCTATACTCAAGCCAGAGTGTATGCTTCTATACTCAAGCCAGAGTGTATGCTTCTATACTCAAGCCAGAGTCGCTAACCATTCATGGTCGGCTAAAACATATTTTCCTTTCATCGATCTCCTCATAAATCATTTTCATGCTTCTATACTCAAGCCAGAGTGTATGCTTCTATACTCAAGCCAGAGTCGCTAACCATTCATGGTCGGCTAAAACATATTTTCCTTTCATCGATCTCCTTATAAATCATTTTCATGCTTCTATACTCAAGCCAGAGTGTATGCTTCTATACTCAAGCCAGAGTGTATGCTTCTATACTCAAGTCAGAGTCGCTAACCATTCATGGTCGGCTAAAACATATTTTCCTTTCATCGATCTCCTCATAAATCATTTTCATGCTTCTATACTCATGCCAGAGTGTATGCTTCTATACTCAAGCCAGAGTGTATGCTTCTATACTCAAGCCAGAGTCGCTAACCATTCATGGTCGGGTAAAACATATTTTCCTTTCATCGATCTCCTCATAAATCATTTTCATGCTTCTATACTCAAGCCAGAGTGTATGCTTCTATACTCAAGCCAGAGTCGCTAACCATTCATGGTCGGCTAAAAATGTACTTCTTTTTCATTCGTTTCACCATAAATCATTTCCGGTAAATCCACGCCCACATTAGTATAAACACACCCATATATGTTTATACTAAATACGTGATTTACACTCAATCATCGCATAATCAGAAAGTACCACATACTTTCCTTTCCGTAAATCTACGCTTGCTTTAATGTAAACACACCCATGTATGTTTATATCAAATGCGTACTTTACGTATCAATCATTGCATAATCAGAAAACTCACATTTTCGATTCCAAATGCTCAATTAAAGACTTATCCTTACCTCGATGAGTGTTGGGTTTGGTTCTTGGCAACTTCT